CTTGGGGAGAGGGATAATTCTGAGGTAAGACCCACATCTGTGGGTAGGAAGCAGGGTTTTCAAAAAGGTGGATGGAGATTTGCCCAGTGGAGTTTGGAAGAAGCTGGTACTCCTGGAGAGAAGCACCGACTTGAGCAAGGGAGGCAAGGTCAGACTTTGGGGGCAGTGTCCTAGTGCCCCCAACATCCCACCACGAGGGAACCCCTTTAGTTTAGGGCCTTCTCTATTTATCATTAAAACAAGACTGAATGTGTGTGTGTGGGGAGAGTGAAGACCCAGCCACCGGGTTCCTACTTCCTCCACTCTCTCCTGCTATGGTTGGCAGAATAATAGCTCCCCAAAATGTCCATGTCCTCATCCCTGAAATTTGTGAATGTGTTATGTTACATGGCAAAGGGGAAGATGGAATTAAGGTTGCTAATCCGATGACTTGAAAACAGGAAGTTTATCCTGGATTATCCGGGTGGTCTCAGTGTAATCACAGCAGTGGAAGAGGGAGAACCAGAGAAATGGCAGCGTGAGATGGACTTGGCCTGACACTGTTGGCTTTGAAGATGGAGGAAGAGGTCAGGAGCCAAGGAAAGTGGTTGGCCTCTAGAAGCTGGGAAAGGCAAGGAAACAGATTCTTCTCTAGAGCCTGTGAAAGGAATGCAGCCCTGCTGACACCTTGATTTTAGCCCAGTGAGACTCATGTTGGACTTCTATTCTACGGAACTGTAAGATAATAAATTTGGGCTGTTTTAAGCCACAAAGTTTGTGGCAATTTGTTACAGCAGCAATAGGAAACAAATACACCAGGCCACCTGGAGGGGCCACGTGTAGGTGAGATCCCAGCTTCCTGCCAGTGTCAACCCCCCGACACGTGAGCGAGGACACCAGACATATCAGATGCCTCCAGTCTCTCCAGTCTTTGAGTTTCCCAGCTGAGGCCCCAGAGAGGAATTGTACCCACTTTGCCCTGCCCAAATTCCTGACTCACAAAATCTACGAGCATAATAAAATGATTGTTTTTATGCCACTAAGCTTTGGAGTGGTTCGTTATGCAGCGTTGTAACTGGAACAGGGATCTATCCTAGACTTGAACTTGAACCAGATGGAACTCAGGAAAACTGCACACCCTGCTGAACCTAGAGCTCCCATCCCACCATTAGTCTTATTTTTAACTGAACCCTGAACTGAACAGAAGGGAACACTGCTGAAATTGAAACCGAACTTGTATATTTTTTCAAGCTGTTGAACTAAAATATTCAAATATTCTTGAGACAGAGACAGTCACATAGAGAATTCTGCCCTAATCACTTCACTCTGTATATATTTTGATTTGCCTAAGGTCACACGGTCACGGCAGAGCCGAGAGATTCTTAATGTTTGTAAAGCAGCCAGCTGTGACCCTCATTACTCTCCCTACCTTCCTTCAGAGCACACACCCTTGTCCAAGTTTGCTGAATGAAGGAAGGATTGAGCTGTCCCTGTGAGATGTAAATGTCCCATCATCCAAGAACAGGGCGTTCCAGCCTGAACCTGACTCCTTGGGGGTCCCTGAGTGGAAGCTTCATGCCCCTGGCTGAGAAAGTGGAACTTTCCATCAAGGCCAGTGATCCTCAGTATTTGACCAGCCCGGCTGGGGTGTGTTGGGATCCAGGTGGCCTTCATCTCGTCTGAATCAGACCGGCACAGTTTGTAGCCCTCCCCTAAAGCAAGCAGGAGGGGGGGACACTCTGAGGAGACTTGGAGCCCCTGGGGAGATATTCATCTTTCCAGAGCTTTATCATTTTTTCCATAACAGTACCCTTCCTTCAAGGTGGAAAGTCCCAGCTGGCGGCTAAGGATACTCTCAATGTGCTTTTGTTCTCCCCCTCGCCTCCAGCCTAGGCAGCAGGGTGCTGGGCAAAGACACTTCCCTTTTTATACCAGCGTGCTCCGGACTTCCATACTGACAGATGGCACAATATAGACGAGTCCTTAACATCACGAGACCCGATTTCCTGGTTCCAATCTTTGCTCTGCTATTTGCTAACTGTGCAAATTTGGCAGAGTATTGAACCTCTCTGTGCTTTAGTTTCTCCATCTGAAAACTGGCATGGTGATAATATGACCACTTTTGAGGATTTAATGTATGAAAAGTGCTTAGCATAGCACCTGATACACAGTCAGAGTGATGTAACTGTTTGCTGTTATTATTACATGACCTTGGGCAATTCATTTCCTTTCTCTGGGCTTCAGTTTCCCCAACTGTACAATGAAGGTAGTTGTTCCTACCTGCCTCTTGACAGCTGATCTGAGTGCAAATCCTGATTACCCTTTCTTGCTGTGTGGCCTTGGACAAATTTCTTGGGTTCTCTTAGCCTCAATGTGCTCATCTGTTAAGTGGTACCTATTAAGTAGATGGTCGTGCTGATGATGAGAAAATGTGCATCAAGCATGTAGCATGGGGCCTAGCACATAGAAAGAGCTAAAGCAAAGTTAGCTTTTTTTTTTGGTTTGTTTTTATAGATGAGAAAGAACTTTCTAAACTATAATAAGCCATGTCCCCAGGAGGAGAATTGTGGTTTTCTCACATGATTTTCCAGCCATGCCTTATTCACAAACTCCTAGAAGCAGAGCTAAGTCAGGATTGGAAGGGCCATTTTACAGATCAGTTAATTACGCCATTCAACACATATTTACTGATCACCTATTAGGAGCCAGGCACTGTTGTAGGTGCAGGGGAGAGAGCGGCATTGAGGGCCCTGCCCCCCATGAGCTTTCATTCCTGTGGCAGGGGAGGCAGACAGTAAACATGTGAGTACATGAATATATGATCCAAGCTCAGACTCAGTCTCTTCATTTTACAGATGGGGAAACTGAGGCCCAAGAAGGGAAGAGATTTTCCTAAAGTCCTCCAGTGTCATGGCAGGGCAAAGACCCCCAAGCAAATCTTCACAGTATCAGAATATCTTACCCTTAACAAACCCTGGTTTCCCCAAAGTCTTAAGGTATGATAGTGGGAAGCGATATTTACTGAATCGTCCTAGACACAGGCACTCTTTTAAGTGTATTACACACCTTATGTCATTTAATCTTCACATCAACCCTGAGGAGGGAGTTGTCATTAATCCTATTTTATAGATGCGGAAACTAAGGCACAGAGAGGTGGAGGGGAGCAGGGTTTGAACACAGACCCCCCAGTTCAGTGCCCATGGCCTCCACCACTGTGCTGTCCTGCCGTGCTGGCTGCATACTCTTCCTTCCATCTCGGTCTACAGTCTTTCTTTCTTTCTCCCCTGCCCCACATCCTGGTCTCAACAATTTCTTCCACACTCTGAGTAGCCTCTGGTGAGCCCTCTTCCTCTCTGGCCCTCAGTTTCCCCATCTGTGAATTGAGGGGACTGGATTGTCTTCAGGGCCTTCCATGACCACTCTGATTTTTATCCCCTTATCAGTTTGTAATTATCTTATTCACTTCCTTTTTTTCTAGTCTGCTCTCCCCAATGGATTGTGAGCTCCAGGGAGCAGTGCCCTACTCCTTCTGTTCCCCACGATCTCCCCAGAGCCTGGCACTGTGCCCTGCACTTAGTAGGCCCTCAATAAATACTTGTGGATGAAGAAAGGACGGCATGATGGCCATTGTCCTCAGTTTTCTCAAAACCAGCTCTTGCACTCGCTCTCTGGCCCCTCTTCCTTTCTCAGCCTGTGGGGCCCCCTCTCTCCCTCCCTCTCACCTCCCAGGGCCGACTCAGGCCCTCCATCCGGCCTGCATTTTTCCGGGTTTGATATCATTTTTTCCACTCTCCCGGCTGCTGCCGGCTGCCTCTGCCAACTTTCCACAACCAGAGCCCCTCCCCCACGACCACAGGCCAGAGACAGCGAGGGGTGGGGGAAGACCCTCCTCCTCTTCCCTTCCCCAAGCTGGAGTTGGGATGGGGAAATAAGGCCCATAAGTGCCCTGCTGGCAATACTGGGTGGTTGCAGCTGGAGGATATGGTTCGCCTGCCCATGTTTCGGTCTTCCTTGGCACGGTGTTCCTGGTGGCTGGGACACGGCCCATGTTGGGGGCTGAGGCATCTGGGCAGACAGCTGGTTGGGGGCAGGGGTGTTAGGCATAAGGGACACAATGGTCCAAGCCGTTTGCATCTTGTTCTCCTCTTAGAGTAGTGACACTCCTTCCCTTTAGGCTGGAAACTCCTGACCTGACCCCCAAGGCCCAGCCCCAACCCCAGCCCGGTTCCATGCCTCACTGCCTCACACTTCCTGCACAGACATAGGAGGAGGCTGGGCCCTGGGGTCTAGTCCTCACCCTCACTGGCCAGGTGACGGTGGGGTGCTCACTTCCCCTCTCTGGGCTTCAGTTTCCACATTTGAGAAAATGAATGAGTTGGACTAAATTGGGGTCCATCCTGGGGATTAATGGATTGAGTTTCATGGAGTCCATAACCCCCCTTTAAACTATATGCAAAATTGTGTTTGAAAGTCCATTTCTCTGGGACTCTATAGCTTTTTGTCACATTCTCCAAGAGGACTGTGGGTATGTCGAACACAGACTCTAGTCTTAGGAGCCTGGGTTGGAGTCCTGGCAGCTTCACTTACAACAGCTGTATGATCTTGAGCGTGAGCCTTCACCTCCCGTGCCTCAGTTTCCCACTTAGTAAACAGGGGTCATGAAGATCAATTAATAGTTGTGACTGTTTAGTACAACCAGCTCCTAACAAACGCCAGCTATTATATTGCCAGGATGAGTGCAGAGCTTCCTTCCAGATAATATTTTACGAATCTATAGTCTAAAAAATGGGTTACTGAGAAAACAGGGGGTCATCACACTGAACTGTGGTTGTTTGTGCTCCACAGGGTCTCCCTCAAAGACTGGGGGCAGGGGCCCTGCCCAGTGGTTGGGAGAAGAGGCCGAGCACACAATTGGTCCAATGATTTTATTGACTGACACACAGGTCAGCTGGTTAACCCAGCGTAGATGGGCGAGCGGGAGGTGGAGAAGCCTGGAAAAGCCCTGGGCATCAGACAGGACATCCTTCTGGTCTAGTTTATTATGGAGGGTTTCTGAGAGTTGTCCAGAGCCCAGGGACAAGGAAGATTTTTACAAAAAGATATGCACTACGTAAAGAACCCTACTCTGTGCCCAGCTTGCGTTTAGGCCCCATAGTTTGTCCACCGCTTCCCCGGGGTGGAGGGGTCCCCGAAGCTCCGGCTCCGGGAGATGCTTGGGCCGTCGGGGCAGCGGGCAGGCAAGGCCCACGATGCGGTCTCCAGGCCACCGCGCCACTGCCCCTCGGTGGCGTCGGTAGAGCCCCGCGTGTACCCCAGTGTCCTGCCACACCTGGGAGGGCGGGCGGCCTCAGAGCACGGCCAGGTTGTGGCAGGACTTGGAGCGGGCCTTGAGTGCCCGGCGGCGGGCACTACGGGCCGTCAGGCGGGCTAGGAAACGACGAGCGCGCTGGCCGAGGCTGGCCCGCCGTCGGGGCAGCGGGGGCTCCCGGGCCGCGCTATGCCGGCGGCGCAAGCGCAGTTGACGCACCACGCCCTCGAAGAGCTCGGCCACGTTGTGCTGCAGCGTGGCTGACGTCTCGATGAACTTGCAGTCGAACACCACGGCGCAGGCGCGGCCCTCTGAGGGGGCGGGGTCAGGCGGGACGGGGTGGAGGAGGAGGAGATAAAGATGGGAGAGGTGTGTTCAGTCTCAACCGGAAGCAAGTTTTTCTTTCCCCATGCCTTGTGCTGGATGCCAGGGAACTCAAGAGATACGTTGGACCTGGCTTTGAGGAGTTAGTTCGCAGGCTAGTGACTGACACTGGTAGCAGGATGAGGCTGGGAAGACAGAGAGGCTGGGACCGGGTAGGGAGGGGTCTAGAATGCCAGGTAAGGGCTCTAATCTGTGCATCAGAATTATCTGGGGGAACTTGTCTAAAATGCAGGTTCCTGAGCCCACCCGCAGACATTGTGATTCGGTAGGTTTGGGATGAGGTCTGGGATCCCGCGTTTTAACAAAATCTCCTGGGGATAATGTTGTGGAATTTTGGGATAGCATATGGTCTTCCATCTCCAGGATGCCCCTGGGCTGGGAGGCAGGGGCCCGGGTTCTAGTCCTCAGTGGCTGGTGACCCTGTGGAACTGGCTTTCCCACTCTGAGTCTCAGTTTCCATATTTTTTAGATTTTGCCCGGTGAGTAGGACCATTTTAAGATGTTTATGGGTCCCACCTGATACAGCAGACATATTAATATATTCCCCCATCCCACTTTAAATAGGATTTATATATAACTTTAAACGTTTTGGTTTGCAGTTGCTGGCTGACACAATATTATGTTTTGTATACAATTAAAGCTTTGTGATTTGGATTTATGATTTTCCCACTGTATTTTGGAGGCAATAATTGTCTTTTTCATGTCTCAGATGTAAGTCCTTGCAAAGCTTGTAGGCAGTGGGCCTATCATGCCTGGTGGATAAAATGGCTCTGACTAAGGGCACGGAGGAGCCATAGGGGAATTTTTAAGTAAAGAAGTGACAAGGTCAGATCTGGTTCTGGAAAACTCTGGCAGCCGGCGAGGAGAACCGATTGAGTGGGGAAAGAGAAGTGCAGGGGCTGGCCCAGGCTAGAGTGGAGATGCCAGGATGGGGCAGAGGCTGTGGGCATGGAGGGAGGGGAATGTGGGGTTAAGGGAGATGGACCTGACAGGATCTGGGGACTGGTTTGAGGGAGAGAGGAGGCAAGAATGGTTCCTAGCTTTCAGACTTAGGCAAGGAGATGCAGGATGGGGGTGAGGGGGTGACGGTCACTGAGATGAAGAGCACTGGAGGAGTTGCAGTGACAGTGGGACTGAGAGAAAGGTGGAGGAGGAAGGTGGGGTGGAGGAGGAAGGTGGGGTGGAGGAGGAAGGTGGGGTGGAGGGCTCACCTTCCACGGAGACTTCTCGGCAGCGTGCCAGGTCTGCCTTGTTGCCCACCAGGATGATGGGCACGTGGTCCGCCTGATGTGTGCGCCGCAGCTGAATGCGGAGCTCAGAGGCGCTCTCGAAGCTGCCTCTGTCTGCGATGGAGTACACGATGACATAGGCGCTGCCCACCTGCAGGCACGACTCCTGGCTCCAGGTTTCATCCTGTAGGGGAGGGACCCCAGGCCCATCCTCAGAGGGTACCTAGGCCGTGGCTGAGAAAGGGGGCGGGCAGGGATGGTCTAATGGGTGGGATGGGGCTGAGGTTTATACTTTGGACAGATGTGGGGGACAAATTCTGCCACAGTTCCCTGTGTCACCTTGGGAAACCACCAATCCTCTCTGAGCCTCAGTTTCTCTGCTTGAAAAATGGGGCTAATAACACTACCTTACTACATTCTCTCATTCATTGATCCTTCTGTAGGCTGGGCACTGCAGACAAAAGATTTATTTGGTTCTCCTTCCTGCTAAGGACGGTTCTGGCTTTGCCTGTTCAGCTCTTTTGTCTGGTTTCAGAGGCGGGTTCGGTCTTTCTAGAAGGTTCTTTTGACCTTCTGCCGTCCAGAATTAATAGAAAAAGGGAAGGGATAGAAGTGAGGAGAGGAAGCTGACTTCAAAGGGAGGCATTTTTCCGGATAGTTTTGAAGAGAGAGGGGAAGGAACAACTGGAATGTAAGGGAAGGGGTTGTGAGAGGCCAGGGGCATTTTAAGAAGTGCAGCCCTTTTGGGTTGTTTGACAAAGAAAGGAAAGAGCTGGAGTAATTTTGATATTCTGTTTTGGATGATGATCTCTTGTCAGGGACAGCACACTGAGACTGGACCACCTGGGTAACAAATTTATAAGTAATAAGACACAAAAAGCTCATAGTCTGGAAGGGAGGCTGTGGAAATGGGGAGTTATAATGCAGTGTAATAAGTAGCACTAAGAGAGGCACATGCAAGGGGCTGGAGGAGCCATGGGAGTTGGCGGGGGTAGGCCAGAAGAATTCAACCTGGCAGAGTGTGGGAGGGCTTCACAGTGGACTGGTGACTGGGGTTTGAAAGGATGAGCAGGCTGGGCAGGAGAGAAGAGTGGGCCAGGAGTAGGAAATGCTGAGTGCGGTGGAAGCATTTTTTGTGAGGGGGAAGAAGCCAGAAAAGTTTTCTGATAACCAAATAAGATAGATGAATAGGAAAGCGTCAGAGCTATGGTCAACATCATTGTCAAAGGGAGTAAGTTCTTAACAGCCATATTGAGCCTTCCCTAGGCCAAATAACCATGGGCTGAGTTAGACAGATGTGGGTTCTCAGTCTTGACTATGGACAGGTTCTTTCCCCCCTCTGGGTCTCAGTTTCCCCATCTGTAGAATGAGAGGGTGGGTCTTGACCATTCATTCATTCATTGCACAAATATTTATGCAGGATTTGCATAAATCCTGCATGATCCTGCGAGGATCATGAAAGCTGGTTGGTGCATGGATTGGTGGGTAAGAACCCCTTGGGGGTATGATTAAAAATATAGATTCCAGGACCCCACTTTTGTAGGTTCTTATTCACTAGGTCTGGGGTGAGGCCTGAGATTTTGATTTTTTATACTCCCTCCGGTGACCCTGATGGTCAGCCAAGCTCGGGCACTAGTGGATGAGCTAAAGGTGCACCCAGTTCTGTCTGATTCTGCCTCTGTGACATCAAAGAATACCGTATCGCCCAAGGATGGATACTTATTTCAGTAAGGCTGCCACTGCATGCACTGCCTTCACAGTCACTGACCAGGGAAACTGAACCAGTTTCCCCATTTTACTTTTAGGAAAACCAAGGGCTAGAGGAGAAGTGAAAACTCTCAAGGCTGCACAACCAACTGGGCACAGAATTCTAGTTCCTGCCTTCTAGTCCAGTATTCTTCCCTCACACTATCTCCCAAATGAGACTCCCAGTCAGATCACTTCTCTTAATTCACTGGACTCTGCCCCACAGGATCCTCAGCTGCATTCAAAAAGTACACCCTCCCTCACCAGCCAGTGAGCTCATGAGGCCAGGGGACATGTCTGTCTTATTCACTGCTGGGTCTCCAGTGCCCTGGCCAATGAGATATACCCAGCTGGTGTTTCTGGATGAGCGAAGGAGTGAAACTTCAGCTGGAGGTTCAGAATGTGATGCTCCCGGGGCGAGGGGGAGGGGTAGTCCTACTGCATAAGTGTATAGGCTCTGGGGTCTTATAGATCTGGGTTTGAATCCCACTTGCTATCTGAGAGCTTTGGACACATTACTTAACCTCTCTGAGCTTTGATTTCCTCGTCAGTAGAATGGGAATCAGAAGAACACTCACTGTATAGTTTTTGTCTTGACCGAATGTTATAATAATATATGTCCAGTGCTTAGCACAGGGGCTGACACTTAGGAAGAGGGTGCTTCATAAATGTCAGCTGCCTGTATGAGAATCATCATCATTATTATTATGCTCACTTGGACCTGGGTGTCCTTCCATGCTTGTTAAAAGGAATTGGCCACAGAGCTCCTTCATCCCTAGCTTTTGGGCCTATCACTGGAGCTGTCAGCCATTCTTTCAATCACCCAACACTGCCCTCCTAAGCCCCACCCTATGGGCAGGGCCTCCCTGCGTGTCAGGGGAGGAGCCTACCCTTAGAGACATGGGATCCCAGGTGATTTTTAGATCCTTCTCTTTGCTTAGCTGTATTTCTTCAAAGTTCTACAATGAGCATATCTTACCTGAATAGCAAGAAAAAAGAAAACTCAAACAAGATAAGAAAAACATACTAGGGACATGTCCCTGCCTGCTGCTTTCTTCCTGCTCTGGAAGGGGCTGGGAAAGGACACACTTTGGTTTCCTTTTTATTATCAAGTTACGATTAATAAAAATTATCATTATTTACAGTTCTTCATCCATGTTCAGCATTTTTTCATGTTCCAAACTGTGCTCACCTCTGTGAAATTGCATAAGAACTTTTTAAAACCAGCTGGTAAGGAAGGCAGGAACAATCAACCCATTTATCAGATGAGAAAACTGAAGCTCAGAGTGGTAAAGTCAATTGCACAAAGCTACCCAACTGGTAAGAAAAAGAAAGGGGTTCATCTCAGGCATTTTGGTGCTAATCCAGTGTTCCTTCCTCTGCACACTGTGGGTGGGTGGAGTGGGATGAGGGTGCTAATAAGGGGGAGGCTGGCAGGGGGGAAGCCCACCCTGGCATGGCTGCAGGGAGGGGATCAGGGACTGAGAAAAGGGTTGGGTCATGATGTTCTTCTGTTTTTGGTTGGAAAGGTTTTGGGGAGTGCTGAGGATGGCCCCTCCCCTGTCCCTGTTCTGTAGTGTCCTAGGAGGGGACAAGAGTCTGGCAATAGGCTCAGCACCCCTCCCCCCAAATCCTGTTTGCTGTGTCATACCAGTTTCTCGGCCTCCCAGGTGTCCATGACCACCAGCGTGGTGTCTTCTCCGTCCACCGTGAGGGTCCTCTCGTATACATCTTCTGCAACCCAGGGAAGAGCCGGATCTCAGGAGGAGGTCTGGGGAGGGTGTGGGCACCCCTAGCCCCCCAACTTCTGGTCGCAGCGCCCACTCCACTTCCCTTTGAAGAGCTCACCACACTTGTGTGACGCCTGTCTCTCCTGATAGGTCAAGAGGCTTCACAAGGAGCCCATGTCTCCCCAGCTGCCAGCACAGTACCTGGCACACAGTAGGTGCTGAGAAAGCTATTGTTGGTTTGGTTGATTGAATGAGTGTGGGGTGGTGCGGTTGAAGTTGGGCTGGGAATTCTCCCGGTCCTGCTCTGTCCCTGGCTTAGTGTATGCTTTAGGCAGGTCACGTGACCCTCTCTGAGCCTCAGTCTCCCCATCTGTCACACATATAGGTGTTCATATGTACACCACTCATAGGGGTTCCTACTCTCAGAGGGGTCAAGACTGGGGCCTGGCCAGAGTGTCCCCACATTCTCTATGCTTTTAACCAACCCTCCTCTCCACTTATCTTGTGTCCTTTAAGCCAGTCCTGCAGGAACTCATCTTCATTTCCTCTGTCCTGCCCCTGTCCCCCACCATCTTGGGACCCCTGACCCTCTCACTGCATCTTTTGGGAATAAAGGAACCCAGGGACCAGACCTTGGAGTCTGGCAGTCTCCATTCTGGGCAGGATCTTACTTTTGCTGCAGGTCGTAGTGGCCATGGATGGTGTCGATGGGACTGGGAGGATCTGAGAGTCAGGGGAAGCTGGGGCTGGGAGTTTCTGAGCTGGGTGGAAGGCCACCATTTCTTTACACTTGAGACTCATGGGACTCAGAATTGCTTCCCTTATGACATGGAAATGAATCATACACCTCTCATCCATGAGCAATTGGCAAAATTCTCACTCACTATTCAAGGAATTTCCCTCCCATAGAACATTGTGCAGGCTGTGCCCTGCGCAACTCTAGGAGGGCATCATTCACTTTGTAATCTATGCGAATGGTTGAGCAGTGCACGAGTTGTACGGCTGTTCTTGGCAGCCTTGTGCCCCTGATGACAGGGCTTTCACACCTTTGGCCACATCCCAGCCCAGCCCACAGGGTCCCTACCTCCCAGCTGTTCATGGAGGTCCCGCTCTTGCTTCCCTGCAAAGAGGCTGGCCAGGCTGGTCTTCCCTACACCAGGATCGCCAAGCAGTACCACGCGGTAGAGGGCCTCCCAGGAGCCTTCAGAGTCGCTGGATTCAGAGGACCAACCGTTGGGGGCAGGTAAAGGTTTCCGGGTGGGAGGGTTGAGGGAGGCTGATTGGCCCAGCCGGGGATGCTGGGATTGCGTGGAGGGCGCTGTGCACAGGAGGCCAGGCTGGTGGCCCCGGGGGGACAGGGGCAGAGGAGTGCTGGCTCGCCGATGCAGGGGGGTCTTTGCTTCTTGCTGGGTGTTTAGTGTCATCCTTGGGAGAGGGACTTTGCTCCTTCCTTCCTTCTGTGAGCAAGAAGGGGGAATGGGCGGTGAGCCAGGTGCTTGGAGCCCCCCCTTCTGTAGAGTCCCTATGAGCTGCTCAGATGGCTTCCTCCAGAGCCCCTTCTTGTTCAAATGGGAGGAGGAGGAGCCTCAGCTCCTTGGGGTGGGGGCTTTCTGGCTTCAGGCCTAGGGAATGCCTGGGTAAGACTGGGAGGAGTGAGTGTGCAAGCTAGGAACGCACACATGCATGCACACCCAAAGGCCATTTCCTATGCCTTGAGGATGACCCCCTCCCCCATGATACAGTCAGGCAGAGGTGCAGCAGCGCGGTGGGACATCCACACAAGCCGGCACACGCTTGTGTACACAGACCTGCCCTTCCCATTCAGAACATGAGACCCACGTTCTCAAAGGCTCCTGAATTGCCCCCTCCTCCCCTTCTCCACAGGTCTGTTCCCATGGTTCGGGACTGGGGGGTATGGAGGAGAGTTGAGGGCTCCTCAACTCACTCACTTCCGCTGCCCCATCTCACGAGGGCTGAGGAAGAGGCAGGACGGGGTGGGTTGGTACTCCGAAGGGCGAGGGGGATCTGGGGGTTCCCTCTGGCTGAAACCCGAGCGGCCTGGTGCCATGGGAACAGCGTGTCTGGCCCGCCCCTTGCGTGAAAAATTCAGGACCGGCTGGTGCGACGGCCTCCAGCTGCTGTTGGGGAGCCGGGGCTTCGAGACAGCCGGGCCCCAGGTTTGGTGACAGGACAGGGTCCAGGCGTGGGGCGGGGAGGGGACCTACAAGGCCCGGGAGCGCATGTGCCATTCCCGGAGTCCGAGTCGGAGCTCGTCCAGCACGGGGTCCTGGGTCCGATCCCGGAAGGGTTCCCTGTCCGAGGCTACCCAACCCTCCAGGCCCAGGTCGGAGGACTCTCACCCCCGGGACGTGGGTTCGAGGCCCCCCTCACCCCTGCCTGCGCCGCAGAACTCCCTCATGCAGGCGCCTGGCGAACTCCGCTCCAACTTGACTAAGTTGGTGGCGGGCTGCGCGGGCCTTTACCTCGGCGTGGGGAGGGGTCCAGGGTCCCCGGCCGCCGCAGCCGCCGGCTGCTCCAGGCTGCACCACCGCCTCTGCGCGCAGCCCCTCGGGCGGGTCCCGCCCCGTCGCCCAGTCGCCCCGTCGCCCCGGCGGGGGAGGAGCCGCGACCCCGCCCCGTCCAGCCCCGCCCCATTAGGGCAGCCCCGGGGTCCCCGCCCCAAGGCCTTGGCCGCTGAATGACTTTTCGCAGAGCTCAGCTGACCCGCTACCTCAAGTCCTTCTCCTGGGGTGGGGTGGTGGTGGCGGTGTTGCCTGGAGGGCCAGAGAGAAGAAGGATGCGGGTTCTGGATTCCTGGATCCCTTCTGCTTCCGCATCTATCCACTCTAGCCGTGAGGCGCACCAACTTTCGCCCTCACAAAAACAGCTTGAGGAGCTTGTTAAATATTCAGATTCCAGGTCCCACCCTCCAAGAGAGGCGGATTCAGCAGTCCTGGGGGAGGGATTCGGGATTCTGAGTTTTAAACAAGTGCCGAAGTGATCCTGACGCAGAGTTCGTGGACCCCACTTTGAGAAACTCTGATCTGGCTGGAGAATTAATTTTGGGAGGTGGCTTAAGGGGAGGAGGGAGCCCAGGAAGTCTTCAGTGAAGAGTTCTGAATATCTTATTTTGGCATCATTCATTCATCACCAAATTCTAGGTTAAGCACCCCTCATACAGCTAGGGCTGTCCTGTGCCTGGAAGAACGACTGTGCCCTCTCCGATGAATATTTACTGAGCACTTGTGCTGTGCCTGGTGTGGTTTGAGCACTTTTCCTGGGTTATTAGCTCATTTAATCCTGACAGAACACTAAGAGGATGAGCAAACTGTGGCTTACCTGGACCTGGGACTCAGGTCTCTGCCTCTCAGCCTACCATCCTTCCTATCATGGTCCATGGCTTTTTAAAAAAATCTTCCCAGGCGTGGAGGAGGAGGAAAGAGACATTATGATCTTGGTATAGAAGAGAAGTTGGCTGGAGGGAACTGGTGATTTTGGCCATCCATGGGGCCAGGATCCAGGCTATTTGAGGAAAGTGTTTCCTTTTAGGTCATGAGGGACTGGGGCCTGTATGTGTGTGGGGCCCATGGAGACCAGGCTGTACCTGTGGGTAGGGCTCATTGTCATGGCTGAGGGGGTCCAGGTGTCCGGCCCAGAGCAACTCCCACAGCAGCCTGGTAGACTAGCTCAGCCTCCGCAGGGCTCTGGGCAGGCGCTGAACCCCCTCACCTTGGAAGGAAGCCTGGCTTCCTTCTGTGGTTTGGCCCTCAGAGCTTCCCTTTCCCACCTACAAGATGGGCTGTGATGGTGTAGTCATGTACATTGTCTGGGAGTGAGGCAGTTTAGCTTGCGTCCCAGCTCTGCAGCTCAGTTGCTCTATGGCCTTAGGCAAGTCACCTCCCTTTTTGGGTTTCAGTTTCTTTATTTAAAACTGAAATCTGAACAGGTTACACCCTTGCTGCAAAACTTATGGTTGTCTACAGTACAAAAGCCTGAACTTGGCATTCAAGGCCCATCTGCCTCCTCCTGTCTTCTGCAAGGTCCTTTTCATTCTCTTCTCCCAACAAACCCCTTGCTCTGGCCATGTCCCACTCTTTCAGGCACATTCTGTTCCTTCTGCCTGGAATACCCTTTCCTCTACTCATCTTTCAAGATGCAGCTCAGATGCCTGTGTACCAGACACTGTTCCGAGCCCTCACACATATTATCCCAGTGGTCCTCAAACTTTAGTGGTGCAGTAGAATCTCTTGGAGGGCTTGTTAAACCATGGCCTGCTGGGACCCACCCTCAGAACTTTGATTCAGTAGGTTTGGGCAGAGCTTGTGAGTTTGCATTTCTAACAAGCTCCGGGGATTGTTGCTGCTTGCTGGTCTGTGTACCACACTTTGAGAACCACTGTATTATTTCGTTAATCCTCTAAATGAGCTGGGGAGCCATTACTCTCTGTGAGGTAGGTATTGTTACTCTTCCCATTTTCCTGATAGGCCTAAATACATGCTTGTTTGAATGGGTTTCTGGTCCCATCTCCTTGGCATCAGGAAGGGAAACCTCCATGTATTTAGCTTTGCAAGGGGGGCTTGTCATCATTTCCTAGATGACAGCCTGGGGCTCAGAGAGGCTAAGTGACTTGTCCAAGATATCACAGCAATTAGAGGGAGACACTGGCATTGAACGAGGTCTCTCTGAAGCCAAGGCTTTCCCCACCCTTTCAGGTGGGGAAGATGTCCAGTTTCTGAGCCAGGCATTGCTTCAGGGAATTTGGTCCCCAGCTTCAGAGCTCAGCAACCTCCGGAGGGTATGGCTGACCAGTTCTCCACGTTGTTGGCTGAGATCCAGCTGTAGCCTTGGGACCACAAGGCCTCAGACTCCCACTTAGGTCTCCCGCTGCCCACACCCTTGCCTGGATCTGCAGCCCAATAAAGCCTGGGCTGCAGGCAGCAGGCTCAGTGTGCATGGCACTTCTCCTCCTGTGTTTTCCCCAGTGGCTTTCCCAGGAGCCCTGTGGCCATGACACAGCTGCTCCTGCTCATTGTGGCTGTCCTGGTCCTGGGTCCTGTGCCGCCAGGTAACATCGCCTGTGTGTGTGAGTGTGTGTGTGTAGAAATGAGGACTAGGCTCTCAGGTCCTGGGGGACAGAGGAGGCCTGGACCAGTGCTTATGTTCTGGCCCCACCACCGACTTGTTGGGCCGCTTAGAGCGAGTTGCTAAAGCAGCCTGCACTGCAGTTTCCTAATCTTTAAAATGAGATTCACTCCACAAATATTCATTGGAAAAATATTTCCTGTATGCCAGGCACTATGACAACTGCTGGAGACCCAGCAGAGAAAGAAAACAAGGTTCTTGCTTTCGCAGAGCTGGTATTTTAGTCATGGTGACAGAAAATAACCAAATAAACCAAATAATGTGTCAGAGGGTGATAACTGTTAAGAAGAATAAAAGCAGAACTAAGGGTTAGTGTGACGTATGCATGTGGTTGTGATGGGAGAGTTGATGGGGATGGTCAAGGAAGGCCTCTGATAAGTTTTTTTTTTGGAAAGTTTGAAATTTGCATAAAAGCAGAGAGAATAATATAAGGCACAAGGCAAGTTTTAAAAAAACTTTATTATGGAAAAATGTAAACTCATGCAAAGATAGAGAATAATGTAATGATATGAGTTTTTAAAAGAAATCTTTTTATTTTAGAAAATTTCCAACATAAATAAAAAATAGTATAAAAAACCCTTATGTGTCCATCTCCCAACCTTAACAGTTATCAACTTGAACCAATTCTCTTTTGTTATTCGTCTGCCTCCTCCTCCCCAGTGAACTATTTTGAAGTACAGTCATGTGCTGCATAACGACATTTCGGTCAATGACAGATCACATATATGAGGGTGGTCCCATAAGATTAGTACCATATAGCCTAGGTGTGTAGTAGGCTACACCATCTAGGTTTGTGTAAGTACACTCTATGATGTTCGCACACTGACGAAATTGCCTAGCGATCCATTTCTTAGAACACGTCACTGTCGTTAAGCAAAACATGACTGTAAATCTCAGATGTCTTATAATTTTATATAAGGGAGGTTTGAGCAGAGATCTGAATGCAGTGAGAATACAGAGAAGACTGTTGCAGGCAGAGGGAACAGCAAGGATGAAGGAGGCAGGAGGGTGATAGATGCATTTGAGGAGCAGTGAGGAGGTCAGTGTGGCTGGAGTGGGGAGCACAAGGAGAAAAGTGGAGGGAGAGGAAGTCAAAGATAGGAGGGGATAGTAGATCATGTAGGAGAAAACGTAACAACTTTGTATCTCGGAGTTATTGGAAGGTTGAAATGTGATGATGTGTTAAGAGTAGTTATTATAGGAACTGCCCTCACCTGGGAGTCAGGGTCTTGGGTTCTGGTTCCAGATCCGTCACTTACTGGTTAGGAGAAGCTGGGTAAGTCCCTTTCTTTCTTTATCTGTAAAATGAGAGGGTTGGCCAGCCAGTTGGCCCTGGTCACTCCAACTCTCTAAGCTGTCATTCTGATAATCTCCCTTTCCATTTGTTATTTGCTACATGTTCAGGCAATGTACTAAAATGATTAAATCGCAGACAACAGCCCTCTGAAAGATACTTGTACAGATGAAGAATTTGAGGCCAAGGTCACTCAGCTGGGAAATGGCAGAGCTAGGATTTGGACCCAGGCTGTCTGAGCTGGGTTCATACCACCCTGTTAACCATTAAACTACACACCCTCTTCAGAGTGTGGATTCTTTGCTTTATAGAGATTTTGAAGCCAGCTCTGTATCATTCTAAGATTCTCAACCTTGGCGGATGGAGGGATGGGCTGGTTGACAAGGTTGAATAACACCCGTGAGTTGACCCAAGGTATTGTGAGGATTCTGTGGGATCTCTTTTAATCCAGGGAGAGGCAGGGGAGCCTTTCCTCTCCACCTGCCACTGAGCCCCCCGTTCTTCCACGTTGCTGGGTCATCTGTCTAGAAACATCGCTGTAACAGACAGGCCTGTCTAAGTGGTCCTCCTCGCTCCTCACTTTGTCACATCAGCCCTAATGGGCATCACAGCACCCTGATCATCTCCTTCAGGGCACTTACCACAACCTATTTACTGTATTGATTTGCTTGGGTTTTAACTGCCTTCCCTGCTGGAAGCTTCTTGAGGGCATGGACCATGCCATCTTGTTCATCGTGGTACCCCCAGTGGTACCCCCAGTGCCCCATCTTTGTTGAATGAATAAATAAAGGAGATGCCCCACCCTGTGCCGTGACTAAAGACCCTTAGAGGGGGTACAGGACCTATTCTCCCAAAGCCTTTCCTTTTCCACGCCCCGTGGTTGGAAATTACTTCACTAAATCCTAACATTAAACAGGTCCCTGTGTGTGGGAAGCAGTTTGTGTAATGGTTACGAGTGTGGACTCTGGAGCCAGATTGCCTGGGTTTGAATCCTGGCTCTGCTCCTTAATGGCTGTGTGACCTTGAGCAAAGTTGTTAACCTTTCTGTGCCTCAGTTTCCTTGGCTGTATACAGGGATTGTAATAAGAGCAACTATAATAGGATAGTGGTGTTATGAAAAGTGCTTAGAGTGTTCCTGAGGTGT